GGAATCAAGAAAGGTGGTCCAACTTGAGGGAGTCAAGATCGTCTTCATCTAGCTCAAGTGGACCATGTGTAAGGCAAAGGTTTTCCCTTGATAGGTTTTCTATTTTACCGGTCTTGTGGTGGTAGTTGGGAGAACGAGTTATAGGATCGTTTGCCGTACTATCAAGGGGGGCTCTCAAGTTGGTAGCTTGATCGTATCGTTAGTAGAGAGCTCAAACCATTGCATCCTTGCATCATGTTTCTTGGTTCTTGTTTGGTTATCTTTGTGAGTCTTAGAGCTTATGGTCATCTTGATGACAAGCTTGAGTTCATCGAAAACGGAGTTCGCATGCGTCTTCTATGATGTTTTCGGTGTTGGAGATTTTACCGGTCTTATCCGATGAAGGGTTCTCACCATTTTCTTATGGGACTTTTCTCATTTGCTTATTCTTGATATTTCTATCAATATTGTGTTAGCCCATGTCGTTAGCTTTCCAACAAACTTGGTTACGTTGAATTCGGAGTCCGTTTGCAAAAGTTGTGGCTGTTTTGGTAAAGGCTGCAGCGGTACTACCGCGACTAGAGCGGATGTAATTTTTTACTACCGCTCTAGAGCGGTACTACCGCTGCTCCTGAGCGGTACTACCGCTCCAGAGCAGTACTACCGTGGCTCCTAAGCGGTAGTACCGCCCCGGACCAAAATCTCGTGTTTTCTCTCTCGTTTGGGCTGTTTTGACCGTGCTAAGCGGTAGTACCGCTCCTCCAAGCGGTAGTACCGCTTATGCACGACCTGAGCACATAACGGTTGGATTCGGGAGGTCCTATAAAAGGGGGTCTTCTTCCCCAATGAACCTAATCCTTTGAGCTCGTGTTCTTCCCCCATTGTTGACCTTCTTCGAGCTTGCTAACTCTCAATCCCTCCATCGATTCTTGCTAGTTCTTGAGGGAAAAGAGAGAGGAGATCTAGATCCACGTTTCCACCAATCACTTTCTCCTCTAAGTGAGGGGAACCCCTTGGATCTAGATCTTGGAGTTCTTCGTGTTCTTCTTTCGTTCTTCCTCTCATTTTCCTCCCTAGCATTAGTTGCTTTGGTGGGATTTGGGAGAGAAGGACTTGGGCACTCTGTGTGCCCTTGCCATTGCATTTGGTGCATCGGTTTGAGTTCTCCACGGTGATACGTGGAAGTGAAGTTTGAGAAGCTTATTACTCTTGGGTGTTTGGGCACCCTAGAGCTTGTTCCTCTTGGGTGCCTTGGTGCCCTAGACGGTTGGTGGTGTTCGGAGCTCAATCATTGTGGTGTAAAGCTCCGGGCAAGCGTCGGGGTCTCCAATTAGGTTGTGGAGATCGCCCCGAGCAATTTGACGGGTACCGGTGACCGCCCCCAAGGGTTTCCAAAGTGTACGGGTTCGGTGACCGCCCCCAAGGGTCGCCATTTGTACGGGTTCGGTGACCGCCCTCAAGGGTCCCTTAGTGGAATCACGGCATCTTGCATTGTGCGAGGGCGTGAGGAGATTACGGTGGCCCTAGTGGCTTCTTGGGGAGCATTGTGCCTCCACACCGCTCCAAACGAAGATTAGCATCCGCAAGGGTGTGAACTTCGGGATACATCATTGTCTCCGCGTGCCTCGGTTATCTCTTACCCGAGCCCCTTTACTTATGCACTTTACTTTGTGATAGCCATATTGTTCTTTGTCATATATCTTGCTATCACATAGTTGCTTATCTTGCTTAGCATAAGTTGTTGGTGCACATAGGTGAGCCTAGTTGTTGTAGGTTTTGTGCTTGACAAATTAACCGCTAGGTTTATTCCGCATTTGTTCAAGCCTAAACCGTAATTATTTTAAAGCGCCTATTCACCCCCCTCTAGGCGACATCCTCGATCTTTCACCTGAGAAATACTTGGTCGAGAGCTTTCTATTCATTGCCGTCGGTGTTCTTGTATCCCCCGGGCACGGGTCTGGTTGCTCCGAATGCAGAAAACCAAGCAAGGTTTGGAGCTCGAGCGTGGCCGAGTTGGATAAATTGGGGTGTAACTGTAGTGCCCATTGTCCCTCACTGTATTGCGAGGCCACCGTGCAGTTTTTGGACGAAGCAAAGGAGAACAGCACAGGGGAAGCAAACCGTAGCCTGCCACATGGTAGCCAGTGATCAAACCAAAAGGAAATACGTGTGCCCTCTCCAATTTTGCACTGTGTTGAATGAAGGACGAGGTGCAACAAGGATTTCAGACATTTCCACATGGTGGTATCTCTGCTGTGTCTGAGAGCTGAGATCTCCTTCTGGCAATACTGTGAGACAAACCAGTTGAAGCATGGGACTTCACCGTGCTGCAAAATATTAGACATGAGTTTGCATATCATTGCCATGTTGTGAGCCCTGAGGTCTCTAATTCCCAATCCTCCATTATTCTTGGGTGTGATCACTGTTTCCCATGCAACCAAGCAATGTCCACCCTTAGCTGAGTTCTTACCTTGCCAAAGGAAGCCTCTCAAAATTTGTTCCAGCTTGTCCATTGATTTCTTTGGCCATATAAAGCAGGCCATGAAGTAATTGGGAATGGACGCCAAGACTAAGTTTATCAGGGTAACTCGGCCTCCCCAGGATAGAAAAGTTGCAAGCCAGCCTGATAAGCGTTTATCCACCTTGTGTATGACAGGGATTAGAAGACCATGTGAGATTTTGTGAAACGATAACGGGGGTCCAAGGTAAGTGCAGGGGAAGGCTGATATCGGGCACTGCAACAGTTCGGCAATTTTTGTACTGGTATCCTGGTCCACACAAGTTTTGTGAGAGGTGGTCTCGTTTCAGAATGTTTATCCTAATCTTTTGACAAATTACTCTGTTTCTTAGAAAAAATATGACAAACTTCATGAAAAGAGTGCCATGGATTGTGAAAGCGGGAGAGTGAGTGAGAGGCAGTGTTAAACCACCACTTGTCAAAGACCTTTATTTATTTAAGAATACCAAGCCACCACTTTTCCTGACCATTTTATTACAAAGGGTTTTATCATTTATGCCACTAGTTGTGTCCCACTCCTCACTTTTCCCATTAAAAGTTACAATTGCTCAAAAATATCATCATTTTGTGAGACTTGCTCAAAAATGCCGTTAGACACCTCAAAGATTCCATCATCCCATTAGGTGTTTGCTCAAAAATGCCATTGGACAGTGTTACTGTTAGGTCCAACCCATTGACCATGTTATATGACCAAAATACCCCTAGACCCACATGTAATCTCTCTCTATCTCGCAATGATAGGTGTTGTCCCCACTTGTCAGGAGTAAGCAAGCAAATAATTTTAGAGAAAAACAAGAACTTTGTCGGGGATCGAGTGGGACACACACTTTATTGTAGTGAGACAGAGGGACAACTGACATGTTGGTCCGTGGGTATTTTGGTCATGTAACATGGTAAACGGGCTTTGAGCTGACAGTAATGGTTCAAATTTACTTATGCGGGAGCCGACCATCGAATGGAAAACCGCATCTTTCCGCGGACCGGAGGGGGGGGGGGCAGTCCACAGACACTTATGCGGGAGACGTTCATCCAACCGTAGCCGCATACAATTTAAACCCAATTTCAACTAACCGGACGATTTCATCAAACTCAACGGAATTCATCAAAGTTCGGATAGAAAATAGCATAAAATATCCGTAAATAACATGCAAATATGTCTAGTACAACAATAGTTCAAATTCAGCGAGATTTAACCGGATGTTCAGCAAGTTTTTCATGGATGGATCATGTTATCCCACATATACTGCCCCTAGAGATTCATCCAACAATGTATGTGCGCGAATGGTATCTCGTCTGACTAGTAGTACATCACGGTAGAAAGTGCAGACTACACAACATGTAGAGCAACAATGAGTGAATAAATCAATCAACAACATGTAGAGTAAGAGGGAGCCAAACTTACAAACTCCATGGTGGCCACGCGCAACGGTCACATTGCCTACGACCGATCAATCGCACCACAATACTTCATGACAGAGTTTTGGATGTGTACCATCGGTACGCTAAGGACTTGACACTACGTTCATGGATGATGTGCATGTCATAGAGTGCAATGTGCTTTCACACATGAAACGAACCATGCACGGGCTACCAAAAGGCCTCCCTTCTGCTCCTTCCTACAAAGTCCGTAGATACGGCCAACCACGCATCACATAAGAACTCATCCTCCTTCGCCGAGTACCCCACCATCCTTCCTACTGTAAAGAACGACATGAAGTTCGAAAATATGCTCAGTGGCATTTGACCAAACATCTGCCGCAGACGAATCCTGGGTGGGGGTTGTGGACATCTGACAATGCCTGGGCGGCGACGGGAGAGTACATCGGCAGCGTCAGATAAAGAGGGTGCATATGCAAACCAAGGGGGAGCAGTGGCGGAGTGGAAGAGAATAGGACCGTAAGGAAGGATTTGAGTGGGCAGAGGGTGTAGGAGTCCTACGTGGAGGTGGTCCGGACTCTCGCAAAGCTCCCTCTAGTTTGCTTCTATTTTGCGGGGGAAAGGACGCCCGAACCTCTCCGCGGACCGATAGGGTATCGTGTTGGATGGCGGAATGGGTCCGGACGGATGCGGGCGGGTTGAGGATCAGCATTGGAGATGCCGTTAAAATGGATGGAAGTGTCGCAAGAGAAGCAAAATTCAGACTTAATGTCAGATAAGAAATAAAAAGTTTTGAATACCATCAAATAGGAAAACAAAATTTAAGGCAGGCTTTAAGGAATTGTCTTCGCGCAGGGAGGACTTGCCAGCAGCCCGTGGGCACACCACAGCCGCCGTCACAAACTCGCGCTTGGCTTCCTGGAATGCTGCAGGAACGCGCGTACAGGCAGGCAGGCCGTTGAAAAAACGAACGCAGGTTAGGTTGCTTGCTTGGGCTACGAGCCGACGACTTTGCTATGCAATGCATCGAGTCGTGGCGCTCTCTGAGCCACGCACGGACCCGTTGCTCGATCGTTGAAGTCATCCGCTAATCGCTGTATATATTCCGCGTCTCAGGGCACACGCCATGCCTTCGCTACTTCAGGCGACGACGCCTCTGATCCGACCGGAGCAGGCCATGGACCTCCGGCAGCACACCATCCAGCTCGGTGCGACTCATGGCGCAGCGGCGACGCAGCCGGGCGATGGCGGCGCGATGAGCTCCGAGCTGTACCTCGCCGTGTGCGGGGGGAAGAAGGAGGAGGCCATGGCGCTGCTTCGCCGGCTGCACTACGGCGGCGCTGCCGCGGATGATCGGGCTGCCGGTAACGTCCACCTAACTGCTGGCTCTAGCCGTTCGATCTCTGATCATCCGTGCGTTCGCATGATTAGAGTATTTTCTCCCTGCTCGCCGTTCAAAGTCAAACCTCAGGTTCTCAGGCCAGGGTTTTTGAAGTTATTTTAATCTGGCACACACTCAAATTTACAATTATTCGTCTACTATTGAAATTTGGATTTATTTTATTCATGCAAATTGGATTTGGAGAGAATCAGAGAAAGGGTGCATTATTTCATTTTAGAACAAAGAAGGGTATTTCATCAAGTTGCTGTACTTCTAGCTGCTGGATCTCCGGCCATCCGTACGTTCACATAGTTGAGAGCATTTTTCTTCTGTTCGCACCGGTCAAAGTCAAACCAATTTTGAATCACGGCCATCGGGTCAGGTTTTGTACGGGGAGGGGGTCAACTGCAGGCAAAATTCAAGCACGCACTCATTAGGTCCACATTTGATTATTTGAACACGACCATAAATTTTATGGAAGCTTGGTTTTCCCTTTCGGTTCGACCAAATCGCTACAATTTCTATCTGATCTTTTTTCCCGAATTCCTACCAGAGTTTGAGAAAATTTGACAAAAGTTCAACTTCTGTCTAAGTTTGTCCGTGAAGTCACGTGTCACCGATAATTTGCAAACACAAAAAGTGTGTCATCGATACATTTGGCCAATATGCAAATATCTTGGTGCCTAGTGATTTAACTGAGATTTCAGAATTCCATGTGAAATTACATTCAAAACGGGAACCCGCATATTTTTCTTAGGAAGGAAATTAAACCACACTATATCGAATTGTTTCAGGCATACAACAGGTGAGCGCAAAGAGGAACAATGTTCTTCATTTAGCCGCGGAGCACGGGCACGCCGAGCTGATCCATGATCTCGTCAGCTTCGGGGGCAAGAGCCTGCTCTCTGCCCAGAACTCTGCTCTGGACACGCCTCTGCACTGCGCGGCGAGGGCGGGGCACTGCAAGGCCGTGTCCGTCCTCGTCCAGCTCGCGCTGGACTACGGAGATGAGAGCGCGCTGTGGTGCAAGAACGCGGCCGGGGACACGGCCCTTCATCTGGCAGCGAGGCTCGGCCATGGCGTGGCGGTGGAGGCCATGGTCTCCGCGGCGTCCGGGCTGGCCTCTGAGGTCAACCACGCGGGCGTGTCGCCGCTGTACCTGGCGGTGATGAGCAGGTCGGTGCCCGCCGTCAGAGCGATAACGATCAGGTGCCGGGACGCGTCGGCCGCCGGCCCGAGCTCGCAGAACGCGCTGCATGCCGCCGTCTTCCAGGGCTCAGGTCAGCTAGCCAGCGAGCTCCCCCTTGATCCCATTGTATTTGTTGAAATTCGGCTGATGCATCTGAACTTTGTTAGAAATGGTTAGCCTGCTGCTGGAGTGGAAGCCATGCGGCCCATCCCTCGCTAGCCAAGCGGACGACACGGGCAGCACCCCGCTCCATTTCGCCTCCTCCGACGGCGACCGCTCCGTCGTAGGTGCCATCCTGAGCGCGTCGCCGCCGTGCGCGGTGCGCGTGAGGGACTCCGGCGGCCTCTCCGCTCTCCACGTCGCGGCGGGGATGGGCCACGCCCACGTCGCCAGGGCGCTGATGGACGCCTGCCCGGACGCTGCCGAGCTCCAGGACGACCGCGGCGGAACCTTCGTACACGCCGCGGCCAGGGGAGGCCACTCCGAGGTGGTGCGGCTCGCCATCAAGAAGCCGATGCTGGGCGGCGGCGGCCTCCTGAACACGCAGGACGGGGACGGCAACACGCCTCTCCACCTGGCCGTGGCCGCGCGCGAGCCGGCCATCGCGGAGGCCCTGCTGTGGACGGGCCAAGTGCGAGCCGACGTGACGAACAGCGACGGCCACACGCCGCTGGACCTCGCCGCGAAATCGACCGATTTCTACTCCATGGTAAGCCTGGTGGTGACACTGACGGCGTTCGGGGCGCAGTTCCGTCCGCAGAGGCGGGACCACGTGCAGCGATGGGACAGCCGCAACATAATAAAGGCGATCGAGAAGACGTCAGACAGCCTCGCGGTGGTCGCCGTCCTCGTCGCCGGCGTGGCCTTCACCGCCGCCAACAACCTCCCCGGGTCGTACGAGCAGGAGGGGAACGTAAAGGGGATGGCGGTCCTCCGGAGCAAGACCATCTTCAAATGCTTCCTCATCCTGGACGGCGTCGCCCTGGTGACCTCCATCCTCGCGGTGGTCCTGCTCGTCTACGGCAAGGCCTCGCGCTCCGCCCGGTCGTGGAAGAGCTTCGCGGCGGCGCTGCACTGCATCTGGGCGTCCCTGATCAGCATGCTCCTCGCCTTCTACGCGGCCATCGCAGCCGTGACGAGCACCACGGGGGTCTACGACATCAGGGTCTTCGTCGTGAACCTCGTCCTCGTCGTGCTGTTCATCGTGCTCTCCGCCTTTGTCAGCCCTCCGGTGTCGCACCTCATAATGTGCAAGTTCCTGTGGCAATGTGGCCTCAAAGGATGCCGAGGTGTCGTCCGCAGGCGTATCAGCCAGCAGTATCCGGTCGTGGGCGCCTTCGTCTTCAACCTGCTTCTGTTCAGGGCTGCGCATTATGTCATACTGTTTGCCGGCTTCATCATTGTCTCCACCTTGCGGGGCGGCTCCGATGTTCGCTAGAGCGTGGTTAATAGAGCTGTTTGTTGTTGTCATGTCATTCATCGTAGATTTTATAGATGGCATATATAGTAGTTAGTTGTAAAATAGAATGGACCGGGATTTGGAGCACTCGGGTGCTCCGCACCCTTATACAAACAATTCATTCAAATACATACCGAGAAATTTGAAAAAAGATCTGGAATTTTGGGATATCAAACGTGGGTTCCCGGTCTACTCCCGTGTGAAATTTCGTGAAAAATTACCAGAAAACGTATTCATGGCAAAAAGACAAAAAGTTTCTATGTATAGAAAAAACTGTTTGGGTAGATTTTTGTTCGGACAGTATTTCCTTCGCCACGGATACGTTTTTGGGAATTTTTTCACGAAAATCCACACGGGAGTAGATTGGGAACCTATGTTTGATATCCCCAAATTTCAGATTTTTTTGATTTTTTGGGTATTTTTACGATTATTTTTCGTATAGGGGTGTTGAGCACCCAGGAGCTCCTGTGTATTTTCCTAAATAGATACAACTTTATTAATATCTGGCACACTTTGTTTTTTTGACCGACTCATCTCTGTCCCTCACCCACACACGCAGTGGCGGAGGGTGACCAGCAGAGTTAGGAGGAGCCAAATGCTAAGCTCATAGTGCTAGCATGGGCCAAAAAAGTAAACTGTATCACATGGGCCATCATTTGCTGATTTTACTGGGTCTAATGTCTATGCTTTTCTGTGGGAGGACCAGCCATGGCCCGTTATAGTCCTCAAGAAGATCTGCCCCTGCACCCGTGGTGACGGGGAGGGAAACCCTAGATCGCGCCCCCGGTTCCCTCCACAACTGTCTCCTTCCTCACCGCTGCCAAAGGGTGCGGTC